GGTTCAGTCTCATAGGCTGAGCTGAAATTCCAAAGACTTTGTCCTTCTCCTTGAATTTCAGAGGCTTAAAAACCTCACAGATAATGCCACAGGACATCAGCTCTGTCTTCTCAGTACATTCTGCCTGTCCAGCTTCCAAGTTGGAGCGAATCTGGGCAATTTGTTCATGAAATGCTTACGCAGATGATCAAAACTTAGTAAAGCATTGACTAAGTGTTCCAGTCCATCCTTCCTAAAAGGATCCAGGACATTTTAAACTGTAGTTGGCCAGGATTCTGAAGACACAATAAGTGCAATGATTATGCTTCATTGTATTTTATCAGAATAGTCTCAAACATGGGCTCTTATTTTCTCCAATTGCATTTGCTTCTTGTTTCAGCCCATATCCCTCTAGGCATCTCTTTGGCCTAGTTGCTTCATGAGAATCTTCAGTAAGTAAAGAATTACATGGGATTCTACGGGTAGAAATAGAAGCTGCTCTGCATGATCCTTTCAAGTGTCAAGTTGCCCCTGTATTCCAATAGTCAATAAATGCCATGGAGGAGCATTCTCCAGATTTCAGGGAAACTCCCAGGCTCCATGAGAAAAGTCGCTGGATTCATCAGATATTTGGGGCAGATAATCTTAATAGGTTCCTCATCTCTGAATAGTTGGCGCCTCAGTCAAACCTACAATTATGGAAAAGTGATCTGTCCTTCATAGTGGACTGATGTAAGACACATTCTAGTGAGAGAGAAGTTCCCTGAGGATGGCTCCAGCATGAGTCCAAAAGCTCAGAAGACTAAACCATTGATCCTGATGACTGACTGACCCAGATTGGATCCTGATGTAAACTTTCTCTGGATGCATCTGTTCCAGAATGAACACTAGATCTAATACATGGCTAGCCATAAGTATTGTGGGCTGGGAACGATCTTGGACCCACCCATGATTTCATGGTAATCGTGAATTCCTGAGTGGTCTCTAGCCCCTAGGAGAAGATGGTGCAATCTGCCAATACTAATAATCTGGGCAAATTTACAGATAGTCCTGCAATGAAATTGAGCAGCTTGAGGAATGCTGCTATTAGACCTTACGCTGTTTTTAATGACAAAATAGAAGTTTGCTTTTTAGATTAACAGAACAATTTTTTTTAAATAATAGATTTACTTGGATTGTATTCAAATGGGAAGAAAATTTGATGTTTCTATAATCAAGCATATTTATGGAACTAAGGTTTTGACCGCTTTATGGGTTGTACAGTTTGATATTTCAACAAGAATTAATATATACTTGTAACATACTAGTAATTTACATCTGGACCTCTGGACCTTGCTTTTAAGTCTATTATGGAAGTCTTATACCATATTTTAATTCTGCCAATTCCTATAGGCACGAGCTACATTTCAAAAGTACAGTGCCTCTGTAGCCACAAGAGGTGTGATGCACTCAAACCGAGCCAGAGCTCTTGCACAATGCAAAGGAGGAATGGGCTTTAGACCTTTTCATAAACCGCAATGGATCCTAATTAATAGAAAGGTAATTGATAACAGTTTACTTTTTCTCAATTATTAATGTTATTTGCATCAGTCTAAAACAGAATCAAGTAAGAATCTATTTTTTTTATTATTGCCTATCTCATGGCAGAGTCCACAGTGAAGTAACATTGACTTAACTTTTGTATTTGTGATGAACGTTATTACAAGATTAGGATTCATATAAAGATTTAGGCTTCAGTTAGAAACAGCCCTGCTTTTACTAGAAAAATAAGGTATTTTAAATGAGTCAGTAAAATGTAGCACTCACTTGACTACAAAAACCATTTTAGAGAAAATATATTTATGGATTAACATGGAGCATTTTTTGATCTGAGAAATATGAAGCATTACAGCATCTTCTGAAACATTAAAACGATCTCAAACATCATTTATATTGTAATACCTTTAGGTAAAAATGAGTTTTATCAAAGTTGGAATGCCCCATTTAAGTAAAATATAGAAAATTAATCAGTAATGTCAGACAGAAAAAAAATAATTTGAAAATTTAGGATCTTGCAAATAATTAGGTATTTATTAGATCATGCAGCAGCAATTTTACAGAACAGTTTAATAGAATAACACTGAATAACACTGAAATCTTATCTGTTGGGTGAGGCACCCAGTCTACCAAATATAAATCAATCTGTTCTGCGTTTTGCTATACTAGTCTCCCACTAACTCTTTGCCAGCCACAAAATTTTGAATATATACAGTATGTGTGTGTGTGTGTGTGTGTGTATATATATACATACACACACACACACACAAACAAAATGTGTGTGTATATATGAAAGAAAATGGAAATTTTGTAGCTTAATGGATAAAATTGAAAAAGTGCTTTTGCATATTAAATTTATGTTTCCTGATTCCCTATAGTATCAAGAAAACTGCTTTGCTGCAAAATCCCTCTTTTCAAGTTTCTGTTTAGCACCATTGTGTCTTCAGACTGAGCTGATACCTTATCTTACCATGCTGACTAATCCAATGAGAAACCAAGGTATATTTAAACTTATTAAAATGTTTCATATTTCTGTTTATGCTTTAGAAGAACAGTCAGAATAGAATATTATTCAATGTAATTTCATAAATGGGGGTGTATCAGATATTCAATGTAATTTCATAAATGGGGTGTATCAAATATTTTATATTAATGTTACTTGTATGTTGTACATTCCTGCACTCTGTAGGCTGCTAACAATATAAACACATTAAACTCCCAAAAATCCCATACACATTTAAGCTATTTTTTTAAAAAAAGGATTACCCAATACAAATGTCTGAAATATTCATTGTTTACATTCCTGGCATATTTGGGAGCAACAATCCAAGGATTTGACTTTCATTTAATGCCAAAACTTCTGCATTGTTCAGATGTTTCTGTTGGTGGGAAAAACATGTGAGCACTATACACTGTTCTGCTTGATCACAATAGCCGGAATTTTAAGTAATATATATTCCATGTAAGCTGGATTGCTTCTATTATTGGTTGTGTAATTCATCATAGTAGTTAAAAAGTTTATCAACAGCATTTTCAACACGTCAGAAAATATGAACTATTTCGGATTGTATAGTCTTAGCAGTATGTACAGCAGTTAGAATTTGGATCTCACACCCAGCTCAGCCTTGAAGTCTGGGCAAATCAATTTTACCTAACAAACTTATCTCACCTCTTACAGTTGCTTGGGAAAAAAACTAGTATATTTTATGCAGAATGTTTACCCTACAAGAAAAAAAGATACTCATTTATATTTCCTGCTTTTCTTTCTAGAGGAAGAAAGAGGAGATGGCACTGAATGTATTAAATGCCTAGAGAGAAGTGACGTACAGTGTTATATTCTCAGTTATTAACATTTTTAACTGAACGTATCCGCTATGATCTTATCTGAATTTTTAAAATATAGAAAAACTGCTGCCCAGTTTCCTTTCCCAGCAACAGCTCCCCACCCTCTATAGGCTGTTTGAGAGCTTGCTGCCAGAAGAAAATAGCTTTTTTGCTTCCTGCAGCTGCCTAAGCCCTTTCCACTCCTTGTGTGTGGGGGTGGGATTGGCTTAAATCCCAGCAGGAATAACTAAGTACAGTTTGGGAAAAGAAAGCTTTAGATTTCAATGCTAAATCAACTTACTTGAGAGAGTAAAACAAACTGATCTCAGTGGTACTGTATTCAGACATTGATACGTACATAATTACTTTGTAAATGTTACTTTACAACTTTCCTTGAAATAACACATGTATTAGGTCAGTGGTGGCAAACCTATGGCACGGGTGCCAGAAGCGGCACTCGGAGCACTCGGAGCCCCCAGCCTTGCCTCCGCCCGCGACCTCACCAGCAGCCTCCCTGGAGGAGAGTTGCCCCTGAGCGTGGCCCACACGGAGCAGCGCAGCCAAGGACATGGCAGCCTGGCAGCGTACACAAGACTCTGTCCTCACGCCCCAACGTGCACAGTTGATGCTGCGGGGCGTGTGCAGTGGGTATGGCTGCCATGGCGCTGCTGGGCTGCCTGGGTGATCTGCGGCGGGCCCTGGAGGCGGTGAATGGCCCTGCGCGCAGGCAGGGTGGAGCAGGGGCAGGGCAGGGGGTGGAGTGGGGGCAGGGCCAGTTTTTGGGCACTCAGTCTCTAAAAGGTTTGCCATCACTGTATTAGGTTGTTTTCTGAACATACACTACTAATTTGGACAACAACTTGATGGTATGTTTTGTATAGAAATAATTGTTTTTTAAAAATGTGAATTAATGCTCTTGTGAAGCCCTTTATGGATTCCAAGAGGATTTATATTTTAAAGTCTAAATCAGTTTTTGTGATATATTATCATATTTTGTCCAGTGAAACTGGAACAGAAATGGTTTTTTATTTAAAAATAGCTATAAAGTGCATTTTACATATAGATTAAAATTACTTTTAGGAATAATTTTTTTGTGTGCTTTTTCAGCTCAGATTACCTTTATTCAGGATGTTGGGAAACTTCCTTTAAGAAATCACTTTGGAAGGTAACCTTGATATTATTCATAAAGTTTTATTGAATCCAGCCACCTGCTGTCATTCTTCAACTCTCAAGTAAATAAAGATCAAAATGGCCCCTAATATTGATTCTTAAAGTGAAAACCTATCCATCTGTTTAAACTGTATGCTGCTATAACTTAAATGTATATAGTGTTCATTTTCTCCATCTTCTTCTGGGATCTGTCTTTACATAGAAAAGACTCATCTGATCTTACTTAAAAAACACCATTTTTGAATTTATTTCCTGTACTCAGTGGTCTGATTTGCACTACACACTTCAGTTAAATGGAGTCCCATATGGATCCATGCAGTGGAAAATAAGTAAGGCAATGGATACCTCACTTGCAAACTATACACTGATACTGACCTAGATGGGCCCAATGGGGAAGATTTTTTTTCTCTAGATTTTTTTTAAAGGAAGTAGAATAAGAAATATCAACCTCCCTTATACTGGCTAGGAATGTAAAGATGGTTGAAGTTCAGAAGATTCTGCCATTCAATGTTGCAAGATGCTGGCAGACACAAGTGATTAAACTGATTGACAACCAGACTTTCCAGGCAGGAGGAGGAAAATATGTTAGTAACGCTTGACTTCCATTTATTTACACAGAGAAGTATACACAGCGGAACAGATACCAAGGTTGTAATTTTCTCACCACTCTGCCTTACTCTACTGTTCTCCCCTGAGGAATACAGCTTGTAAGATGTAGTTGCCAGAACCCTAATAACATGAATTGTCCGAGCATTAAGTAGCGCCTTTTTTCCCCAAACATCCAGCATGATAAAGAAATTATTATGAGAGAGTTGAGTGTCTTAGTTCACTTCAAAGAAGAATACATTTCTGATATTGTATTGCTGTTCGCAGGTTGAAACTTGAAACTCTTACAGATAAGGATTCTGCAATACAAATCCTGGACAATGATGATGAAGAGGAGTTTTCCGAGAAACAACCTACAATTCTGCATACCCAGGGGGAGAAAATAAAAAACAGTGAGGAAAATGAACTGGATGAATTCCTCCCTACTTCCAGTCAGTGTAATGGAAATGAACTACCAGCCAGTCAACCTCAGCCAGTTGCAGCACAAGCAATAATGGAAGCAGATGACCTAAATATAGAAGAATATGACAGTGAATAACATAAAAAGCAATTCCAAAGCTGTGATAATATTTAAATTATAATTTTACTTTTGTTTCATATTTTGTATTCAAATGTACAGGAAAGATAGAAATAACTTTTGTTATTTCTGCAAGCTGTTAATATTTGTCATGAATAACAATTTGGAGGAAAATGAGTATTTATATTTTTGAGCTTGTACTGAAAAGCTTCAGTTAAAACTCAAGTTTTCGCTTCTCATCCATACAGAAGAATGAAAATAAATGAGAAGAAATATATTTACTTTGATATTTTATACCTGTATTTATCTTGTAGATACTGAAGGCATTGTCAAATATTTTGTTACTGTTTCACAAGTTTAGATCTAACTTGCGATGATGAAACATTGCACAAAATGTTTAATCTGGGCTGTGTAATATTTAATATGTAAATAAGTCTCTGGATGCCTTATTAATAAATTGTATCATAGTTTCTGAAACAAAAATGTTTACATATGTTTCGGACAATTCTATCTTGAAAAGTATTAAAACTGATCGAGGGGAATAATATGAGAGTTTTTAATATTTTGTAAAGTTAACTCTTGAACTTTATTTTCAAATCTTTTTACTGATTTTAAAATTTGATTAAATATTAGAATTGCAATAGTAAAAATAATATAATGTATTAGATTATTAGTCTAATAAAGAAAGAAGGGAATGGGAGGGAGGAAAAATAGTAAAGAAATAGAAAATAAACACATAAAGAAGTGACTTCCAATAGTCATCACATGTATAAATAATTTTAGTAAGTTTTCATCTCTTAATTTATAATCAATGATTTCTCTATCCCATGTCTCATCATATATATATAGATGACATTAGATGAAGCAATCATTGATTATAAATTTATATCTGAAGACACCTCTTGAAAAGAGTCAAGTAAAGCCAGCCTACCTTATTTGACAGTGATAGAAAAATGTCCTACTTTTTTTCTGTGACATTTACTGCTTTGTACGAATAATTAGCATCAAAACAGCTCTGCTTGGTTCAAAACGTGATAATAATTTTTAGTCTTTTAAAGAGATATAATGCAGATATTCATAAGTAATTAACGATAAGTTGGAAAACTAATCTCTGTGACGTTTTCTAGGTCTACTTCGAACTTTCTCGTTCTTACTTTTTAAAAATGTGTTTTATATTCTTTCTTTAAAATGTCTAATTGAAATAAAAAGGAATCCTGTTTCCTACACCAGCTGGATCTGCAATGGCAACCATTTAAATAAACTTCAACAAAGTTGGAGCCACTTGGATGAGACTATTCTGCCTACCTGGTCCTATTCCACTTCGCATTTCTTACCAACTGCTAATTATTTTTGGCTGTAGTAACCCAAGTCTTTATCCACATTTGCCCAGCAAGCTGTTCTGCCCTAACAGTCCAGGTTTTTTTTTTCTTTTGAAACTTGGACGACGTCCTTTGAAACAGAAATGCAAGAGTCGGAATCATAAAACCCATTACGATTTGGAGAGGACGGGAGGATGCAACGGCGCAGCAGGGAAAGCGGGAGCAACCCACCTGTCGTCCTACGCAGGCCTACCTGAAGCGAGGAAGGCAGGTAGGAGGGCAGGGTTGCAGCCCGAAGGACTTCGCGCATGACCAGATGGGCGGAACGATTCCTTGCGGCTGAGACGCCCCCGAAAGTAACGCCTCCGGGAAAGGGAGACGGAAGCGGGATTGTTCTGGCCGTTGTGGCTCCTAGCGGGATAATTCTGCCCGCCCTTTTGTCTGAAAGAGTGAGTGGCGATTTTATTGTCGGAGGGGCGGGCGGGCGGGTGGGGAGTCCGGTCCCAGCCTCAGAGCTGGCGGGGTAGCGGCAGAAAGGCGCCGCTTTCTATCCCGCTCGGGGCTTTGGGTGAGGGCGGAGCGGGTGCAAGGTGTGGTAGCTGGAATACGTGCAAGTTGCGCGATTTGTAGGGACCAAAGGACGGGGAAATGAGAAGCAATGCGGAATTGGGTGGGAATTCGTGTTCCGCAGATGCTTCTGGTGAAATCCGGTGGATATTTCCTTGGAAGTAAGGCCCGCTAAATTTAATGGAATATATTCAGAGGTAAGCGGGTTTTAAGATTGTGGATTTAAATGTGTACTTTAATGCCGGAAGCTAGTAGCTATGTGTGGGATATCTCTCTTCTTTCCCCCTTCCTTCTCTCTGGGCAGCACAAAGTTTGCTCAACAACCTGTGGATAAGGGCAGGGTTTCTCAAATCATTTTTGCTTTTTTACCTCTCTAAACCCCCCAGAGTTGTTAGTTGATCCGGTCGTTAGCTGGGGGGGAAAAGATTCAGTTTGGTTTTCTATCCACACAGTTTATTAATCTAAACCGTATCATATAAAAAGGGTGAACCTTTAGAAATACGGCATGACTTCTGGGAGGGTGATATATAGCCCACATTGAAAATCACTGGAATAGTGAATATCCCAGAAAGGTATGAGGTGTTAGTACTAGCTGACATTGTTTTCTTTTCTATCTAAATTATGACCATTGTGTTGTTTTTTCCTGTGTACATATTTTGGATACTCTCAAACTATCCAGACATCACAGTGTAGCAGTCTGGACTTTGAACTTGCACATGAGGCAAGTTTAATGTTTTTTACTTATGCATTGCCATCTTTACTGTTGTGGTTTCACAGACTCTGAAGAGGTTCAAGCATTAAATTATTATAAACCCAGTGTCAAATTTAAAGCAATCCAAGTGACTTGGCAGTTCTGAACTGCCTTACTATGGAACAGGATTTATAGCTCAAATGATTGCATGTTAGATTTTTTTTTTCCTGGCTCTGAGTGCAGAAATTTAGTTGGCTTTCCTTTTTTAAGGCTTCACTGAACTATTTGCCCTAATTTTCAGGTTTTTTTCTGAAACGGGAGAGGTCACAAATGTCTTCAAGGAATACATCACTGGAGCACAAAAGTGCACAGCACAGTCGTTCTGTCCATTATGATAAAGTATATGTGGATTCCTCTTCACCAGAAGATGCTGATGAGATATTAAATTCAGAACCTTTGCCACCACCTCTTCCATTACAGCCACCATTTGGACCTGAATTTTATCCAAGTGACAATGAAGACTCAACTGAAATCCCTGATCTCAAACCAGTGAGAAAATTCATTCCTGATTCATGGAAAAACTTCTTTAGAGGAAAACGAGGTGATCCAGAATGGAATAAGCAATTATCTGCCATTTCAGATGGAATTCAATGCTCTCCACCATCATCTCCAACACTTACTCCAGTGAAAGCAGACCATATTTCAACACCAAGCTCTTATCAAGATCCATATGGAGGATCAGGAGGCACTTACACTTCACAAAAAGAAGCTGAAGGTATTCTCCCCCCGGATCCATATGGCTCTCTGGGAAGGCACACTCAGGCTTTGACATACAGTGAGAAAGTAGAAGCTTTTAACCTCAGATATTCCTACATGAAATCTTGGGCAGGATTGCTTAGAATCTTGGCTGTTGTTGAACTGCTCTTAGGTGCAGCTGTATTTGCTTGTGTCACAGCTTACATTCACAAAGACAATGAGTGGTACAACATGTATGGCTTTTCACAACCATATGGCTATGGTGCAAGCAGCATGTATGGTGGTTATTATTACAGTGGACCCAAAACTCCTTTTGTTCTTGTTGTAGCAGCGCTTGTTTGGATAGTGACTATCATAATTCTAGTACTTGGTATGTCAATGTATTACAGAACTATTCTTCTGGATTCCCACTGGTGGCCTTTAACGGAATTTGGAATCAACGTGGCTTTGTTTATTTTATATATGTCAGCCGCTATTGTCTATGTAAATGACGCAAACAGAGGAGGACTTTGCTCCTATAATGTATTTAACACACCAATGAATGCTGCTTTTTGTCGTATAGAAGGGGGACAGACAGCAGGAATTATTTTTTTGTTTGTAACAATGATTATATATCTCATCGGTGCAATAGTTTGCCTAAAATTATGGAGACATGAAGCTGCGCGCAGACACAGAGAGTTCATGGAAGAGCGGGTAAGTTTCAAGTACAGCCACCAAGCTGTGCTTCTAGGTATGTTTCTAAATGAACGATGGAGTATATCCAGTGGTGGGATTCAAATATGCGAACAACCGGTTCTCTATGGATGCCGCTTCCAGAAGTCCATTCTGGGCCTGGGCAACAAAAAATTAGCTACCGGTTCTGCCGAAGTGGTGTGAACTGGCTGAATCCCACCACTGAGTATATTGCGTCCGTAAAGGTTCTTTCCTTCATTTTTTTTCTCTTAAAATTCAGAAAAAATGTATCAAACAAAGACAGCTAGGGAGAAATAGAGCTTTTGGAAAGTTAAAGAACATTTTCAATCATTGCAGATCCCTAGAGAAGTTTCAATAAAGGGGTAAAAACCTATTTTTTGCAATGTTTGGATTTAGGAAAAGGCAGAAAAGATTTCCTCTATAATTGCTTTTTCCCATAACAGTCCTTCAAATTTTAGGGTAATCTGCAAAATAAAATATATTCAATTCTCTGCATTGATAAAAGAAAGCAAAATATAGTAAGTATCTTCAGAACTAAGTAGATAATTAACTTGATTTTACTAGTAAACTTGCCACTGTTATTTTATATATGCGGTCTTAGCCAAGAGTTGTAGTTGAAACCAAGCTTTAAAAGGAACGTTTTAAAATAGAGCTATAAATATAAGCCATGTGTATTGATTATACTATGTGAGTTTCAGGTAGTGTCTCACAACTTTTTTTCTTGAATTGCTCTCTAGTTTTAGAAAGTGATATCCACAAGCTTGCTATCAAAAGATTTTCAACTATTTTAATTTCCGTGTACAAGCATTTAATTATGTCAAGTTCCTTATTTCCTATGTAGGTAAAGCTTTGTGGAAATCACTCCTTATTCTATCAGTCATTGAATACAGCAGCACTGGATAATAAAAATAAAAAATAGAAAGTTTGCAGTTAAAACAAAATATGCATTAAAACAACAATAAAATCACTCAGGATTGCCTTGAATCTGGGTAGCAAATAAATTTAATAATAAAATGGGAAGAAAACAGTTAACATTTCAAAAGTCTGCTTAAATAAAAATATTTTTCTGTAGGCAGACCAAAATATTATCTGTTTTTGGAAGAGAATTTGCTTTCATACCAATTCTCTGCACAGGTTTTAAAAAGGCAAATACACCACTACAATATATATTATGTCAATACAAAGTGAAATGAATTTGCATAATAGCATTATCAGCAGTTATAGTCTGAATGTATACATTTAATACTGTTATTTCTGTTTCTTTTTAGATGAAGTCACAATCATTTGCCCCAAAAAGAATGGTAAGAATCAGAACGACATATGTTCTGTTTATTTTGTAGTTACTGAATTTGAGTTGCCTGACAAAAGTGTTTGCTTCAAAAAGACATGAAAAAATATTAATTCTTACAAAAAAAAATCTGTTTTAGTGAAAATTCACAAATGTTGATTTGGTGTTCTAGTATCAATACCACCTTATTTCCCTCCCTGATGTTGAACTTTTACAGCAGTATCTTGTAGTTATTGCTACCTACAAAACCCAATGGAAAGGCAGAAAAGGTTTCCTCTTTTTATGAGTTCTAAGAGGCAACGTGAAGGTTTTCAAAAGTTAAAGTATAATTTGTTTCCCAAGCCCTCCAAATGGGGTTATTTGGGGTAGGACAGTGGGTAGTACCTTAAGCCTCTGTAACAACATTCTATACAAGATGCCAGTGGTAATATTTTGTCTGTAAAACGTCTAGTCCAAATGAATTTAGAGAGTATCTAACACAATTGTTTATTTCAACAAACTAGCACTAGAGGTTGGAATTGTACTTTTAAGTTATTTAATACAAACTTGAGCAAAAATAAAACTTTTAAATATTCCTTTTACATAGTATGAAGATCATGAAAATGACACGTCCAAGGTAGCAATAAAGACACTGAAGAGTGCAGAAATGAAGCCTGAAGTACTTAATGGCTATATACCAGCAGGACATATTCCTAAACCAATAGTGATGCCAGATTACTTAGCGTAAGTATATGTATTTTTAGCATGCAAAAGAGCATTTAAGATCAGTATGTTAAACCCTAAACCACAATTTACAAACAACACTGGCTTGATTCCTATAATAAACTAAAAGTAAGACACATTATAAGATTTAAAAATGCAATATATAAACCCAACAGTGTAGTTTACTAAGCTGTAACGGTTAGTCTGTTATTCACTATTTACTTATTTTTTGAGTTATTTTTACAAATAACTCAAAAGTGGCAACACATGTTCTCTCTCCTATTTTCTCCACAACAACAACCCTATGAGGTGAGTTGGGCTGAGAGTGAGTGACTGGTCCAAAGTCACCCAGCTGATTTTCATGGCTGAGGCAGGAGTAGAATTCATAGTCTCCCAGTTTCTAGCCTGGTGCTTTAACCATTAGACCAAACTGGCTCTCTTCCTAAAAAGTTTGCTGCTTAAGCTGTAATGCCACAGCTTGAAAGAAGACTTCATATTTTTTAAAAAATAGAAAGGTACATTTGATTTTGAATTTTAATTTTTATTAAGCTTTTGGAAATCATATATTGGAGTCAGACATATTAAACTGTAATGTGGCTTGTTTAGATTTGGCTTAGTCTTTATGTGAACTCAGCTATTACGTTGTAAATATCTTAGGGTTTAACCAATGGTCACTTTGTCAAATCATACTTTAATCATGCGATATGTAAACTCATTAACTTATTGAAATGTTTAAAATATCTGATCCAGTCCATTCCACCAAATGATTTCCAGATAAGTATTGTCCTGATTTTTGCAATCCAAATATTGTATGCCAAGGGAAACAATGATTCTAGTCCTTATTGATGGAAATTTTAATAATCTGTATATGTTAACATTTTAAATGTTACACATTTTAAAGTTAAATTTTCCGTATTCTATGATACCCACATTTACAATTTACTGAACTGTTGACATACCACTGATCGGAAGTTTATTGTTTATAGAAAATACCCAGCAATTCAGACAAATGAGGAAAGAGACCGTTATAAAGCTGTATTTAATGATCAGTTTTCTGAATATAAAGAGCTGTCTTCTGAAGTTCAGGCAGTTTTGAAGAAGTTTGATGAGTTAGATGCACTTATGAGGAAGCTTCCTCAGCATCCTGGAAACACTCTTGTAAGTATGGATTTAAAGTTTATATTTAGTAGTAGATATTGAAAGATAAGTTATCTGATCAGTAGTCTAATCATGATAATCCCTTTATTTTTGGAAGTCATTACATATTTTATATTTCTTACTAAGTTCCATTCCAAGAAGGTCTTGGTTACTGTTACATAACTTTACACTGTTATCTAACAGTGAAATGATTGGAACTTGTGATCACTATATGCGTGGTCTACTTTCTTGATGTTTGTGATGCAGATGCATCTGTCAAGAGACAACAGCCTCTAACACAGTGGTTCTCAACCTGTGGGTCGGGACCCCATTTGGGGTCGATCGACCATTTCATGGGGGTCGCCAAGCAAGGCTGTCCGCCATTTTTTTTGTCCGCCATTTTTTTCCCCTTTTCCGGCGGGTGCCTTACCTCCCTTGGGCTGGGCCAGCTGGTGGTCGGCCTGCTCCGTCTCTGCCGCTTGCCAGCTACGCCTCGG